ATTTTTTCTTTGAAGTTTTTCATATTTATAATCATGCAAATAACCAAAATCATTATTATTATTTATTTATTAAAGTCGAAAAAAATGCTGAGCATTTTAATTTGAAAAAATTAATACTGAAACTTCCGCCAACATTTCAGCTGGCCCTACTCCGTACTCGTTTACTCAGCTGTTAGTTGTCTGAAGCGGAACTGTTTGACATTATTACTGATGGGGCCATTTATTAGCAGAACAGGAAACATTTTGGATACAAAGTATTATCCCTCAAGGCATTTTGTCCATTTCAACTCGACATTGACCCAACTACCAATGCTGCACTGCAGCACAGCAGCTGGGATTAACAGTCACTAAACCAGTGCCCGGAATAAGTGCACTTTGAAGAGGGTCGTATGTACATCAGGCTGTCACAATGAACGACCCTGGCCATGTGGAAATTGGACTCAATGAAAATGATGTCAACAAAGTTGTGTACTATGGCTCGCAAGAACAGTCGCCACAGGTGTGTATACAATACATGTACTGTATGTTGACATGCGTGTGCCCTTTCCCTCTTTCTCTCTCTCTCTCTCTGTGTTTGTGTGTGTGGCCACCTTCATGTGTCAATTGCAAAATAAATAAATAAATAAATAAATAAATAAATGCTTCATATACCTTATTATTTGTCCAATTTACAAGAATGAAATGCATCATCATTCATGTTACAAGTTTGTTTATTCTGCAAATTAAATTTTTATTAAACATGATATCAAAATAAATTTATGGCTAATGGCATGTGATTGAGCTTTGTGTATTGCAACTTAATTTACTAATTTATTAATTGTTACAATTACAGCCATAGAGGATGGGTCATGCAAGTACATGGTTAAAAAAAGTACCTTCTGAGCCATCATATCTCTCAAAATTGGTTAATTAAATTATGAATAAAAATAATTCTTTTGGAATATAAAAATTGTTTAAATTGAGCCATTGTTAATTTTATTTGACAGTTATCAGTTGAATTCACATCAGAGATGTATATATATGCACGCAGGTACCTACAATGTGTTTTGTCTGCACTAGTATGAGTACATATTTTGATGGGGCACATGTTACTTGACAAATATTTGATGATTTTCATGTAACAGGGCCACTTCCCTTTTGTGGAAATTTCCCCACCAAAATGAATTATTAGAGGTTCTGTCCATGCCTTTGAAAATTCCCCTCAGTCATATTTATATATATCTTGTAAAGCTTCTTGTATTTCCAATTTAGACTCCAAAGACAACATAATTTTTTAAAATTAAAATAAAATTTATCTAAAGTGTACCTTGTGATGTTATTATCTCCTTCCTTGGGTAGCCATTGCCAGCTTTCAAACTCTGTGTTATACATATCACATGTCCACGATTTACAAAACGACATTGTCTTGTGTGAAATGAGGCAATGAGCATGACAGCAGACATCGTTTATTAGACCCCATTCCCACAGATTTTGGATCGATCTATCCCTATGGGGAGTCTTACTAGATTACTGTCAGCTTAGCCGGCTTAAGCATCTGTCCCGCCTACTAAAAGTTGTAAGGGGGTAATTAACTACTGTGCGCGCTTGGCTGACATCAATTTAGCGTTAACCCCCAGGGAGTTAGGTCAATCTAGATGAATCGATCTAAATCTATGGGAATGCAGTCTTAGGCTGGCCAGTCATTTAAACTAAAGTATGAAATTAAAAATGGAATAAAAAAAATCAAATCTAAGTGTTAGGATGGTTCAAGTAATAATTCCTGAGTTAGAGAAAATTACTCTTTACCCCAGGAAAATTCATTTTGGCAAGAAAATCCTATGGAGTGGCCCTTTTAAGGGTAGATTCAGGTTATGCTGATAGTCCAATACTCTTGATAAATGAAATCAGCAGAGGGTACAGCTGGGAAGCATACAACCCAGCAGTGATATACTGCGTGTGGCACTTAAAAATATTGTTATCATCTACAATTACCAGCACTATCAGGAGCTATGTGCAGGGACGGCTTGAGGCCGCCCTCTGGGTATTCCAGAAGATGGTCAGATTTTCAAGTTTACACTGTCTGGTATCCAATTTTTTTTTGTCAAAAGACAGTCAAAATGGAGGATGGATCAACAAAGATAATTTGGAAGACTGTCAGAAAATATATTTGGTTTCTGCCCTTGTACATGTATGTAGGTCTTCACCCCTGCTTCATTGTACTTATTGAGAGGATAAAGTTAATGAACAAATTTACCAAATTTCATCAACCTATCTCAAACTTTTTTTGACCCAGACCCAGAGCAAAATAATTCTTTCATGTTAGGTACATTTATTTAATATATGTATATTATATATGTTTCACATGTAAAGGCCTAAAGTTGACTTTACAAAGCCAGCTACATCCAAATCATGCAGTCTATACTGAGCTCACAAATGTTGGATTTTCAGTTACACTAGTTCCTGGTCTTAATATTAATATCAGAAATTACAGTACACTAGCAAATGTATCTGTAAATCGGTCCAATGAATGAGTATATATTGGGCCTGCTTTTCAGTGAGTAAGAAATAGCAAGACAGATACTACTTTTATGCATAGTAACAATGTATATATATTCTTTGGTTTGTCTTGGATCAAAATAGAGCCCACTGTATAGAAATAGTTACATTAACTGCTTACAAAACATTTTCACTAACTTGAGTTAATGAGAATTTTAAATAGAAGAATATATAATTCCCTTACTTTCAACTCCACCCCGAAATTTCCTGGTGTTAATAAAATGCTGAGGTTTCATTTCTGAAATACTGTACGTAGACCATCATATAACACACTACCCTCATAAAAACCCAAACAACTTAATTTTTCATGAATATACAGACTCTACATTTGATAATTAATGTGGGTTTTCTGAGGGTAGAGCTATAAATGTATTGAAAGCTGATTCATGAGTTCCTTCTGATCATGGCATGGCATGGTAAAAGTGAGGGGGTTTATCGTCATCAGCAGTTTTTTCATCAACAACATCATTGGGATCACGTAGAGCTACATGCGCTCCACTCAAAACACAACCTGTTTGGAAGAGCATATTATTTAGATGTGAGTATGAGTGTATATACCGTAGTATAACATTTTCCCTTACAAATGATGCACACTAGAACGTATTGTCAATATGTACATGTATATAACATATTTACCCATAAACACTTTTAGTTATCTTTTAAGATATGGCCAACTGGGGATAGGGTCACAATTAAAATCCCATATCACTGGGAACCAGTCATAGGGACCATTTCTATAACCCTATCACACTAGCTAGATCATTTTAGCTACTCAGGGAAATTACATTCAGTTTAAGCGGCTTAAATGTGTGGCATGCCCCCTCGTAACTTAAAATACTTAGGTAAAGATGGAAAAACATTGGTTCACGATGCTGTTCATGTTGCTTTGCAAGGGGGCATGCGAGACAATTGAGCTGATTGCATTGTCTGGGCCTTAGCAAGAATCCTTGCTGAGGTAGATTAATTGATCCTGCTTGTATGATAAGGTTATGGAAAGACAGTCATAGTTGTGTCCCTTTGTGAGACCCTTTCTCGTAAATATTTGGTTGTTCTACCTGTGCATAAGTTGCTGGAAGATTGAGCCTCTTACCTAGCACTTGAATGATCTTACTTCTTGGCAGATTGGCCCAGAAGAGGATGTACATGGGGGGGGGGGGGGGGGGAGATTTCCCCCTTCTCTCAACCCCCTAATTCCCCATTCCAAATTAAAATATGGAGATCCTACCCCTAATCCTTCTCAACAAGAGAGAAACTAAACTTAGACTGCATTCATACAGAATTTTAGATCGATCTATCCCCATGGGGAGTCTCACTAGATTGCTGTCAGCTTAGCTGGCTTAAATGTCTGTCCCACCTAATAAAAGCTGTAAGAGGGTAATTAACTTTCGTGCACGCTCGGCTGACAGCAATTTAGCGTGAACTTCCAGGGAGTTAGGTCGATCCAGATGGATCGAACTAAATCTGTTGGAATCCACTCTTGGAGGTTGCAGATGCATAAGTATATATGTGTAACTGGTTACAACAGGAGTTGCCCACTGTATGGGACATACAAGACATAATTGTATTGAGGAGCAGCCAAGATTTAATTTGCCACACACAGTGGATGACAAGTTCATTTAGTTTGACGGAATTGATCCACGGCTGGTGCTTCGAACAATGCACCAAAGGGTATGAAAATTAGGGCAAGCATGAAAGTAAAATACAAGTACCATTATCCTTTTGTTCCAAGTGCCGGCTGTGGGATAAAGTGTTCATATATTCTGTACAAACTATACAGAGTGTACCTTTGATATGTAGATTTTTCAGATTATTTTTGCACTAAATGAGGGTTAGGTAGTGGAACTGAATGTGAAAGCTCGAAGTTGCCCCTTTAAGTTGTTTTTGTCTTAGCAATATTTCCCTTTGAGTGAAAAAAAATTGACCTAAAAGCTTTCATGTATTTTACAGAGTTCCCCTGCACACTCTGTTGCTTCCAGTGATGATGATCAGCGCCCTCTAGTGAGTGGAGGACAGAGTCCCCTGGAGAGTGGACCAAGCCAAGAGGAGCCCACTTTGCTATCAGAATCCAATGAAGAAGTTAAACCTGTTGAGAAACTTAGCAGTGTGCCTGCTGCAGTTCTTAATGTAATAAACTCTATCATTGGATCAGGAATAGTGGGTAAGTTTTTTCTAGATTTATGCCCTGTGTCAGTATGCCCTGAAATTGAAAAAAAATTATCTGACTTGTGGTGGTAAAATGTCAATTTTGTAAAGGTAGATGGATAAAATATGACTAAAATTGCCTGTTAACAGTGCTTTTTATCTCCCCTTTAGACAGACAAATATTTTAGATAAGGCTTGTAGAAAAAGGTGTGTATTTTTATCAATGTTTGTGTGTTCCATCAGTTGCCCAATTAAAAAAAATTAATACTTAGTTTGCAAAACTCACACCTTTGTTGAAAGCTTATAATTTAAATTATAAAACCACACTTATGCTATTTTTTTCAGGCATGCCATTTGCATTAAAAGAAGGTGGTATAGGAATGGCTGTTCTACTCATCATAGTAGTTGGAGTCCTTACTGGTAAGATTTATCCAGCTAAATTGAATCGTGCCATACTGCATTTCATATAAATAAATTTCTATAGCTTTTATGATATATATATATATATATATATATATATATATATATATATATATATATATATATATATATATATATATATATGGATTGACATGTATACTGGTACTAACTGTTGCAAAAAAAGTTTGTGAGGCCAAATCCAATACCATTCAGTATGTTTATAAGCCCAAATGAATGTACCTTCATGTTTTTGGGTTATTCTTTGTTACTGTTAAATATCTTTTTATGTGTATCTTTATTTCTGAACTAAAATTTTGGAACATACTAGATCATATGTTTTACATGTATATCTTGATTTTGCACCTTGTTCATTGTCACTGTTTTACATGCCTCACACACACACACATACACACACACACACACACACACACACATACACACACACACTATTTGATTTATATTTGTAATATTTTTATATTTCAGATTATTCCTTACAACTTCTTATAGCAGCTGGCCTGCAGTCCAAGACATCAACATACCAGGATGTGATGCAGGTGGCATTTGGTCGTCCTGGCTTCTATCTTATCTCTCTGCTTCAGTTTGCAAATCCTTTCTTAGGTGAGTGTGTTAGTTGTGACGTTAGGTCCAGTGTGTTACAGTGACCCAGTTTCTTTGTCTACGTTGTTTTAAAATTTTTGTATTTTTGCAAATTCCTTCTAAAATGATTGTGTTAGTTGTGACATTGGGTTAAATGTGTTGGGTGTTACAGAGCGTATTCAGCACAGATAACCATGGATACATATGTACTTATTGACTATGTAAGAGGTGATATATTCTTAGATTGAATTAATTTTGGATTGCTTCTTACAGCCATGACCAGCTACAATATCATAGCGGGGGACACCATTGAGAAGATTGTATACAGGACTGCTTCTGGTGAGTGAACTTCCCCTTTTTGTTTTCAAAATTAGTAAATTTATTTTTATTTTTTTTGCAGAATCAGTTATTGTACCACCAGCGTTAGCGCTGGCGGTACACATGGTTTCGGTCTCGTCCGGATCGTTCAGCCGGCTCTGCCGGCTCCGCCGGACGGCTACCGTTACCGCTTTTCCTCCTAGACGGTAAGGGCCCCCGTACCCATCTCTTGGATTTAGGTCACCTATAATCTCAGCTCGTTCCACGTAAAATTTGGGCTTTGCCGGTATTGGGGTCTGGGTGTGGCACTCATTGCAATGCACCCTTGTCCAAAAATGGCAAAATTAAATGCTAATTATCTACCCTACGGAAGGGGTTATGGGAAAAATTTTTACAGACGGCTTTCCAAAAGTCATATGTGTAGATTTCAAATATGCCCTTGGATTTGACCTTTGACCTTTACTTCAAGGTCAAACGGGCCAAAATTTTCAAAAAAAT